TGTGTGAAATAGGGCTCTATATTTGTTTTATTTCAAGTAATAATGGTCCATGCACCTTATTTGTTGAATAAGCCTTATTTTCCCCATTGATTTGAAATATCAATTTAATCACATATTGCATTGTTAGACAGATATATATGTTTGTGGTATCATGTTGTTTTAATTGCTGAGGCTTTATAATAGATTTAAAGTTTTTAATATTTTATAATGGATTTTGACATTTAAAAAATAAATAAAATCAATTTGCATTTAAAATAAAAAAAAGAAAGAATGAAGGAACTCCTACCTTTTGCAACAACATGGATGGAGCTGGAGAATATTATGCTAAGTGAAGTAAGCCAGTCGGTGAAAGATAAATACCATATGATTGCACCTATAAGTGGAATCTATTCAACAAAATAAACTAATGAACAAAATAAACCACAGGCACGGAAACATGGAGCAGACTGAAAGTGACCAGAGGGGAGGGGGAAGGAGGACAATGGTGGAAAGAAGGAGAAGGGGCTAAACAAAGCACATCTATGAATGACCCGTGGACATGGACAACAGAGTGGGAATTAACTGTGGGAAAGGGGGGTGGGGTGGGATGGGTGGAGGAGGGCAAAGGGGGAAAATTGAGTCAACTGTAATAGAAAAACATGATTTAAAAGTAAAAAATAAAAAATAAATGCCTGTTGTTTAAGACGCCCAGTCTGTGGTACTTTATCATGGCAGCCCAAACTGTCTAAGATATTTACTTGCCTAAGACTAAAATGTTTACCAGCAGTGATGTCAGCTGGTCCTGGCATTAAATAATGCTGAATCACAGAGTGACCCAAACTATTCATTTTTCAACTCGCTTTCTGATTCCCAAAGGAGAAGGCCTTGTTTGACGCTTGCTTGTCTCTAACCTCTCTTCAGCTCTTGGCAAAAGTCAGGGAGCTGGTTTGCCAATGACAGAAATTCAAGTCACACCAATCTAAATCTTTGTCCCCATGGCAGCTAAGTGAGAGAAGTGTAGAAATTATGAAAGATCCACATGGTTTAACATGATCCCAACCGACTAGGAGAAAGCTGAGTCTCAGAGACGTTGGTGACTTGCCCAAAGACTCAGATCGCTGTTTCTCCCCGTCTCCAAATTCATGTTTAAGGAAGAACCTCACACCGATAGAGAGGTTCTTGGCCGGACAACTGGGAGGTAGCCATTAGACTGCCCTGTTCTTACTCTAACCTCCAAGCCAGGGCCAAACAAGCCCGGCTGAGGAGGAAAGAGGAAGAGGAGGCAGGAAGGGTGGGAGGAAGAATGACTAGTGGAAAAGAGCAAGACTCATTGGCTCAGGAGACAGATTTCAGAAGTTACGTGGAGAAAGATGTTGGTTCAAAAAAGAAAGAATTTTCTAATGCTGCCAAGGCTGCAACTGGCTATGCCAGGAGACAGAGAGAGGCCCACCTTCTCCATCAGTGTACTTTTTTGTTAGAGGTTCAGTTTTTCCTTCCTAGCATTGGCTTTCCCCAAATGTGTAGAGATTCTTGATGGCGTGGTTGTGTTGGGGGACAGAACTCTCTTATACACTGAGGTACATGGGAGCCCTAAGATGCTTCCAACCCCAGAATCCCAGTTTGTCTTCCGACTGCTGGGAGAGGCAAGCTAGTCTCCTAGGTTACCTCCTCTCCCTCCAGAAACAACAAGCCTTTGAGCTCCAGGATGGGGGAGGAGGGGAAGCTGACCCAGATGAGGAGATTGAATGTGAATCCAGATTAAATCCTGGAGGAAATGTTTGCACCTGTTCCTGGGATGTGATTTACTCTGGGCCATCAGCAGGTGTCCTAAGCTGTCCTGCGGGCCTTGGGGTCCGGCCCCTTGAGGTTCAGCCACCGCTGCTCAGGATAGAGGCCCCTCGGACCACCTAGGGTGCTCGTTTGTTACAAAGGTAGATCCTCCAGCCCACTCCCCTGTAGGGTTCTTCAGTTTGGGGCTGACTTTGATGGTGGAGATCTAGGGGCTGCATTTTGCCCAACACCGATCCAAGGTGTCTCGGACAGCCGTGGCCCAAGGAGATGAGGGCAGTGGGAAAGGTGGGGGGTGTTCTTGGCCAGGATACGGGTACCAGAAGTTTTTGTCCATTGGACATTCCTAAGGAGGAAGGAGGGCAAGCTGGGGTTCCAGGCATCTGAGATAATAGACGCATGGCCATTTAGAGTCTCAGCAACATGCTCCCATTCCTAATGAAATAAAAGAATCTTAAAATAATAGAATGTATTCGCCACATAGCGGAGTGGTGAAGAATCAGTGATACTCTGAGTGTGACTTGCGTGCGTGCGTGCTGGCCGGATCACTGACATCACGTGACAACCTCGCTGAGCTTCGGTTTCCTCCTTCATTAAATGGGCATGCTCGTCAGCATAAAATAATGCTCCCCAGGAGTGTTATTACGTACAAGTGAGTCAGGGCAATGAGAGGACACGGCATGGAGTCCAGCCTATGGTAGGAGCCCCACAAGCTCTAATTATCGATACCTGGGTCCTAGGCTCTTAGAGCCAAACGTGACCACAGGTGAGAACAACGCTGATGTAGTTAGAGGCTCCTGGTGGGAGAGGGATCTGTAAAGACACCGGTGTGCTATGGCTCCCCCTTCAGCTTCTCTCGACCTGGCCGCCTGGTGGCTGGCTGCCCCCTGGCCGATGGAAGGGACACTTGAACCATCAAGGGAGTTTGGAGGTCCAGCTCCTACAGGCTCCAAACCTGAGAACGTCACATTCCCTCACCTAGTGACCGCACTTCGCAGAGCTCACAGGCCAGCTCCCTGTGGGCACCAGGAGGCTCGGGCCAGGAGAGCTGGCCTGTGTCCTCTTCACCCCTGCCCCCGCCCCATCCTCACTCTGGTGTTTAATCAAAACAGTATTCAAAATATGATTCTGGGAGATTATATCGGGAGATTTGCAGGAGGCGCTCAGTGGGGGCAGAGACGGTGGGAACAGATTGCCGCTGGGGGCCGAGGCTGGGACAATCGCAGACTCTGACGAGCCGCTCTCGGGCCCCACACCAGCACCCTGGGAGGGAGAGCTAGATCACCCCTGCATTTCACAGCAGGGGAACCTGGGGGAGGGTGAGGGGGAGAGGCTGGTCGCCGCCACATAATAAATAATGGGATTGAGATGGCAAAGCCATTTTCTGGGATTCCTGGCTACTCTCTCTGGTCCTCCTCACAGCCCACTGTCTCCAGCCAGCCAGGCCCAGGTGTTGGGGACAACCGTGGCTGCAGGCTTCTGCTATGGGTATAGGGGCAGAGGTGGAGACAGGAAATGGAGAGTCAGCCTCCTGAGGTGCGGGTGGTAAGGCCGGATGGCTCGGGTGGCCTTTCTCTCTCTTGGCTCACTGTTCCTATAAAAGGCTGCGTGGCCGGAGGCTGTTTGAGGTTAGATCCCCCCAGACTCCATCCTTCGCTCTCTGCTCAGGGACACGGCCCCTGGCCGAGGTGGGGTCCCTTCTCTCTGGCTTTCACTCTGCGATCTCCAAGTGCTGACTCAATGTGACGCCGAGGCCCCTCTCCCCGCCGCGGAATGGCTGGCTGGGGCCTCGCTCCCAACCGGAGGCAGCAGGAACAGGCCTCCCGGCCGCCCGAGGGGTCTACCTGGTCCCCCCAAAGGGGGCGTGGTCCAGAGAAACCGCCTGCGAATGCTCTTTATTACAAACGTTAATCCTGCAAAGCCGACTGGAAATAATGTTTATCTTTTCGCAGTTTAATTTCCCGGACCCTAAGCCACGGGTCAGTGAGGGCGACAGGAGGGCCCCCGGGGAGGTTGGGGTAGGCGCAGCTGTCGCCCAGAAGCAGAAGGAAAGCAGGGAGGGGACTTCCCGGAGGAAGTGAGCGAGAGGAAAATGAACCGAAAAGGACCCTGAGTGTGAAGCTGGGGTCCGCCCAGCACGGACTCCCTGTGACCCTGCGCCAGTCCCTCGTCCTCTCACTTGGCCTCAGCTCCGTCACCTGAGGGAAGGGCTTTGTATTTTTGTCATTCATGATCTCTCAAGCTTCCTCTGACTCCGACCGATCCAGAGGAAAGAAGGCAGGGTGGCTCAGGGAGGGGCCCGCCGCCTGTTCTACAGATCAACAACCCCACCTGCCCCCTTCAGCCTCCAAGGGTCTTAACATCGCTCTCCCTCCCTTCCCCGCCGGGACAGGAGCCTCCCCCCTCAGACTTCAGCGAGCGGCGCCCGGCGCCCGCGCCGTACTGAAAGGCCACCCCCCACCCAGGGCGGATCCGGCCGGAGCCCAGCAGTGGAGACCGAGCTTCCCAGGGACCCAGTCCGTGGGCGCGCACCCGGCTGCCCTCCCGCGCCCATCCGCTCCCCACGAGGCCCCTCTTTTCCTGTGAGCAGCGCGCGCGCGCGCACTGGCTGCCGCCGAAGACACTGCGCCGGGGACGCGGACCCGGGCGCGGCGCGGGCATCGTTAAGTCTTTCCTCCCGCGGCCCGACTCCTGCCACTGCTCGCCGCGTGGACAGAGCCCCTTCCCCGCCCGCCAGCTCCCATTGGCTGGCTCGTACCGGAAGTGTGTGCAGACTCCGAGTGCACGGGAAGCAGGCCCGTCTCGCCACCCAGCGACCTGGCGAGCTGCCGGAATTGGGCGTTGCGTCCCACCCGGGGAGCGCGGGCGTCCCGGCGGCCGGTGCCGAGACACGGTCCCCGTCGCCCCTCCCCCCGATGAACGTAAAATCCAAGCGTGAACCGGGAAACACGTGCAGCTTCCAGACACATATCCTGACAAGTCCCATCACCCTCGACATCACAGACGTGGTCCCCCACCTCCCGCGCGCACGGAGCAGCCCGTGGACAGCCGGGCCCGCGGAGCCCGGTGGGCTGAGCAGCGGGCCTTGGCCAACACCTTGCCAATTTTCCTCCCCGCGAGACAGGAACTAGGTCCGCAGCCCGCGCCGCCCTGTCCCCATTCCGTCCTTCCCTGCCTCTCCTGGCACCCCTGTCACAGAGAGGCCACACGGCTTAGGTTCGGCTTGACTACTTTTAAGGACACAGGAGTGGGGACGGGGAGCAGACAGGTGGTCCTTAGGGGCTGGGTCCGCTTGGAAGTTCCGCAGGGAGGGGGCGGGAGTGAGCAGGAGAGGGAGCAGCTTCAGGCCCTGAACCCAGAGGAGGGAGGCGGACTCTCCCAGCCTTCCCCAAGGCGCCCTGCCACTTCCTCTGGGGTGCGACACGGTGGCGGGCTGCCGCCTGCTTCAGTTCTGCGTGCAAGGAGGGCCTGTGGGAGGGTGTCTGTGTGTCCGTCTCTTAAGCGCAGTTCCTGGTGAGGTCTCCCAGCCTCTTAGCGGGAAGGTGAGTGGAACAGCAGGGCTCACTTCCAAGGTTCGTCCGCAAACTGCAAATCGCCCCGTTGCGCTAACCTGCTGAGAGAGGAAAGGTTGATTAAAACCCGAAGGCCGCGTGGTGGCGATTCCCAGGAAATCGGAGGTCAGTGGTGTCTCATCCGAAGGGAATCAAAGGTCTAGAAGCAATTTGCTTGCCAGAGGTAACATTTGGACCCCGTTATGTGTAAATTCAAATAACAATGTAACCCAATTTTCTAAGCCAGCAGCTAATCCTGAGAGAAATTGCTACGAAGAGCAGAATCTGACAGTAATTGCTGGAGGCTGGGGACTGCCCCTTTGCGGGCTGAAATTTCCTTCCACCCGGCGAGGCCAGAGAACCAGGCAGGGGAGGAGACAGTGAATGGCACTCACACCCTGCATAGGAGTGAGGTCTTAGGGGTGCGTGGGTGCTCTCTGGGGGCAGCGCCAACCCTGTGCTACCCTCCGCACAGGGCAGCAGAGGGGACTGCGAGATATCCGAGGCTCTGGCTTTACACCAGTTGTACGTGTCTGGCCCTGTCCTTCTCATTTCTCAGAAAGCCCAGCTCTTTGCCCAGACCTAGCAAACTGTTGCTACAAGCTCAGCAGGGGCCAGCAGGAGACAAGGGCACCTGGGCCAGAGGGTCATGATGGTGGCTCCCCCCCCCCCACTCCACGCAGGTGGCAGAACACTCCATACGGGTGCAGAGATGTAGGTTTCCCATCTCTTCAATGACTTTCTGAGTGAGCCTAGGTAAATTACAGTCTCCTTCTGAGCTTATCACTGTTATTTGGGCTTTAAAATGAGGGGGAACTGGAAATACGCTCTCTAAGCTCCCATTTCAGAGAGTACTGCCAGACAATCTCGCACCAGGTCGAACCTGGGCATGCCCAGGAGTCAGAGAGGGTGTTCAATGGCTGGACAGCACGTGGGCAGGTGTCTTTTGGACACGCTCCCAGCGCCGTTGGGAGTACCAGTACCTTCTGCTCCGGACGGGTACGGGCACTGCACTGCCGGCTCCCTCCGCCGCGGGCACGGCACACAGTTCAGGGGCAGCCCCTGCAGCGCAAACGTGGGCTTTCCAAAGGCCTTGGCTACTCGAGAAGACTCGCCACATGCGGAGTCTCTGGGGACCGTGGGTCGCCCGCCCAAGCCCAGAGGCTGTCCGGGAATCAGATGGCACTCAGGACTTTGTGGCTTGGGCGGGGTTGGAGGCGCACCTTCGACAGCGCTGGCTGCCGCGGTGTGCGCCAGAGACCAGATGCGCGGTTTCTGGCCGCACGGGTAGTGCATGGTCAACGCGGGCCCCCCTGGCTCCGCCCGGAGGAAGTCAGCTTCTCCGGATCCCGGGGACTCATTGAACGAGAAGCGGGGCGCCCCGAGGTCGCAGCCCCTGCGCTCCAGCCGGCCCACTCGAGCTGCAACGCATTGTGCAGGCAGCGACCGCGTGTCCTTATGGAACTCAGCCAGCCTGTCCGTAGCTGTGACTACAGCCTCCTCTCCTTCCGCCTCCTCCTCTTCCTCCTCCTCCTCCTCCTCTTCCTCCAGATCTTCCAGGTCACTCAGCCGGAGTCCCTGAGCTTCTTGGCTAGCAGCAACGTCTGCAGGAAATCAGGAGCGAGTGAGAAAAGCTCCAGGCCCCAAGGGAAATCCACGGGAGTGCCCGTCCCCGAGAAGCTTTTAGCAAGATGCGCCCAGCAGTCAGAGCACTCGCAGACTCAGTCACAGGCTGACCGCCCCACCTCCTACCTTTGCCCCTGGGCTGGTGGCCTGCCCCTGGGGAAGAATGTCCACCTCTGCCTTGACCCCATCCCTTGGAAATCTCCTCCCCTCCATGCACCCCCAGGCCAAGGAACCCCACACTTTGCGCTGCCATCCTAAGGCCCAGATCTCAGTTTTTCAACCTTCTAAAAGCAAGGGGACAAATTTCCACACCCACAGGTGGCTGGTGTGTATGATTCAACCCAGCAAATATTTACAGAGTATTAACAGTGTGACAGGCACCATTTGGGCACTGATTTAGGGAAGGACACCTCCTAGAAGGAGCGAAAATTCTTGAAGGGGCCATCCTGGTAAGTATGGCAAAGGAAATAAAAGGGGCTGATGATAGAGAAGCACTGGAAGTCTACACCGGCTTAGGTGACCGGAGGCGGCTTTTCAGGGGTGATGCTTTACAGAAAAAAAAAAAAAAAAAGCTGCTCCTGCAGGAAATCCCAGGCAGAAGGCACAGCAGGCACAGGCCCTGGGGTGGGGGACTGTCAGGGGACACACGTGCGAGGGTGAGCAAGGAGGGCCTTCTGTAAAAGCTGCCCCACAGTAGGGTGGGGTGGGGGCCATTCGTGGTACCTTTGGTGTCCCCATTTAGGCAGCCGAGTGACTCCTCTGCTCCACTCCCCGCCTTCCTCTCCTCCCCGCCTTTGTTCTTGGGCGCCCAAGTCATCTTGTTCTCCTTCTTGAGGCGCCGGCGCGCGTTGGCGAACCAGGTGGACACCTGGGTGAGGGTCATCTTGGTGATGATGGCCAGCATGATCTTCTCGCCCTTGGTGGGGTAGGGGTTCTTGCGGTGCTCGTTGAGCCAGGCCTTGAGGGTGCTGGTGGTCTCCCGCGTGGCGTTCTTCCGGCGCCCGGCGCCACTCAATTCCATGGCTCCGTACCTGCAAGGGGCGACCTGGGTCACAGTTCTGGGGCTGGCAACCCCGGGGGGCAGGCAGGAGACAGTGTGCAGCCTGCAAAGGAGGCTCTGCTCCTCCCCGCTCCCAGGCTCTGTCCAGACCAGCCCTACCTGGGCAGCGGCGAGGGAAGGACTTCCTATGCCAGCCCCCAGCATGCCCCATGCCTTACCGGTCATACTGGTATTGCCCCAGAGTCGGCTCATAGTGATAATAGGCTCCTGGTTGTGACAGGCTGGGAGTAAAGTTCCCTGCGGTCTCCTTAAATTCATACTGTGGGTTCTGGTGGGGGAGGAAGAAAGAATTCGGGACCACTGACGTTTGGGGAGGAGACGAGGTGGGGCAGTTGCTAAGGGTGTCGACTTGGAGTTAGTCTGGTTTAAATCCCAACACCACTGCGTCATTGGCTGTGTGATCTCAGGAACAGGCAACCACTCTGTGCCTCAGTTTCCCCTGGTAAAACGGGGATAGCAATCGCCCCTATAGGTTGTTGAAAAAGAGCTTTTGGCAGAATTCCTGGTGCAGAATAAGCACTAGTTACATATGAGCCGCTACTATTACTGTTAGTACTTGGGCGTTCCTCCCTCCCCCACTGCCCCCACCCACTGGGGAACTTCCGCCTCAGGCTACGGGCGGAGCTGTTCCCTAACCCTTTGTGCCGGTGGGACTTTGGGTTAGGGATGGACCTCTGTACCTCGATTTCCTCATCTGTAAATTGATTAAAGCCATGACTTGCCTACTTCACAGGATTAATAGAAGTGCAAATATTTCCCAACCAGTATGGACTTCTGAGAATGGTAAAACGGTGTAAAGATGTCTTGTCCCCCTTATACACCATCCCAGCCATTTCCTGTCTGCGCAGTTGCGCGTCCTTCCTAGATTTCCCCTGGCGAAGTCACCCCGGATTTCACCCGCCGCTGCCGCTCCTGCCCCCAGGCCCCACCCCGTGTACTCACCAGCGCCCCGTACAGCGCGGGCGGCTCCGGGCTATAGGGCAGGTACCCCGGGTAGCTCTGGGCGGCTGCCGCGGCGGCATAAGGGGCTCCATAGATGCCCAAGGCCGCGCCCAGCTCGGGCCGCGCGCTGCCCAGCAGCCGGCTGTCGTAGGGGGCTAAGCAGAGAGCCGCCGCCGGGGTGGAGCCTGAGGCCACGTCCGGGACGGAGCACGGCGAGGATTCGCAGCAAGGGGCGTTGGAACTTGCAGACACCAGGAACTACGGGGGCGAGAGAGGGGGCACCCGAGGTCAGAGACCGGCGCCTCGGGCTGGCGGGAGCCAGCGGCGGAGCTGCCGGATCTCTCCATTCACCATTATCTAAATGGCACCGTGTGCTGAGCATCCTGCCGAGCACTGAAACAGGAGTTGTCTGAAGACGCAATTTATCCGAGCAGCCTTTACAGATACTCCTAAGGCTTTGCTAAGGTTTCAGAGTCCCAGGGCGTCGGGGCAGGAGGAACATTCTGCAAACCGAATGAGAGAAGACAGACTCGGCGGGTTCCTTCGCATACCCCTCCCCTCCCCTTCCCATCACAGGCTCCCGCAGAGGCAGAGCTACAAGTTGGCCTTAGAGACCTTCACCACGTCTCACGCCCACTCCCATTTTATACAAAGGATATGGAGACCAGAGAAAGCGCAGGCTTGTCCAAGATCGCAAAGCGGGGCAGAGGTCGGGCTGGGACTAGACCCCAGGAAAATACATTCTGCACTCTGGGGAGAATCTGGAGAACAGTGGTTGAGTGTCCCCAGAATTTTCCCAGGAAACCCTTGTCACAGCACAGGACAGCACCTACTCTGGCCTGGAAAACTGAAGGAACCGGGAGCAGAAAGCGTGGACCGACCCAAGGAAGGAGAAGATAACAGAGGCCAACGACTGACAGCAGCAGGGAAGCTGAGGCCGGCAATGCTCCGGACTGGAAGTCTTTTTTCCCCCCGAGACTCTCCTTGGCCACCTCGGGTACCTGTACAGCAAGGAGGCCTGCCTGGAAGCGCTCCGAGGTCCCACCCACCTGGCTGAGCGCGTGGTCAGAGTGTCCAGGTTTCCGGTCACCCGATTTTCCAGCTTGCATTGGGGGAGTGGACCATTCTCAGCCAGGGACTGGGGGTGTCAGAGAGGACTGTGGTGCTTTACCCTGGTCCCTGCTCCCTCTGGTTTCCTGGGAGACTCGTGCAAGAGAGGGGCCAAGGGCGCTCACAGGCAGGTGCGAACACTGGTCACCCCCTCCACTCAGTCCGTCCCCATCGGAGGCGCCTCTTACCTGGGAAGCGCTGCCATACGGATGTCCAAAGTGCGGGAAGGACATGGTGGCTGTCCCTGGTCCTTCTTCCTCTTCTTTTGCGTGTTCCTGCCTCAGTCCCGCTGTTCTGCGCCTCCGGCCGTGTGCAGCCTCTGTTCCTTACACGGCTGCGGGTGCCCTGTGCCGGGACCTTCGCCCGCTTGGCGCTCCTGGAGGCAGAGCCAAGGGCAGACCGACTGCCGACTCCTGCGCTCTAGAAGGCGCTCCACCGGCCCGCGTGGTCCGCAGGAGAGAAGGGCCCATGGATGGGCAGGGAGAGGATGCGGGTTCCCAAAGGCGCGCGCTGGCGAGGCAAGGTGAGGCGCGGCGCGGGGCTGTGCTGCTCCCGAGGCGTCCCAGTCCAAGGTGGCCAGAGGCTCAGTGTGACGTCACGGTAATCCCGGGCCTCCAGGCGGGCCCCCGGGCCCTGCGGCCCCGGGCCACCAAACGTGCCAAGCGCAGCCAGTCCGTGCGAGCGCGCTCCCACCCACACTCACACTTGTTCCGGGAGGTTTGTGCAGCTGGTGAGGAATGTCAAAGACCCTGACCCTCTCTGCTTGGCTCTGGAACCTACTCCTTTTCGCCTTACAATCACGCGCGCGCGCGCGCACATGCAATCTCTCCAAATTACCCGGGAGAAGTAGGAAAAACGCCTCCCTCTGCGTCGCGCAGGCCCCGGGCACAGCGCGCTTACCTCCTCCCTGCGGCCCGGAGGAGAAGAGAGCAACCTAGGCGGCGAGGAAGGGGAGAATACAAAAGAAGACACACGAGAAAAAAGAGGAGAAAAGTGGGGGAGAAACGCAAGAGGGAGAAGGAGGAGGGGAGAGGCGAGATATGAAGAGTCTAAGTGAACAGAGGCACGCTGGGGAGGGGAGGGAACTGGGTGGGAGATTGGGCGGAGGATTGCCCACTGGCAGGTGGAGGAGAGCAGAGGCTCGGGGGAGAACTCTCCAGCCCGTCGCCCCCGCCCCTCCGCCGCGGGAAAGTTTGTTCGCGCCGCAGGCCCCGTGCTCCTTGGAGCAGCGCTGGGCGGCGTCGGTGAATCCCACTGGCCCGACCGTCTTTGTCCTCGGGGATCTGGCTCCGTTCTCCAGTCTCCCCAGATCTAGTGGATCCAGGCCCTCCAAGCCCTGGCCTTTGTTAGGGCCTTGACCCCGGGGCTTTTCTGCAGCCCTCTGGCCTTCGACTAGGCCAAAGAGCGCCCCCTCGAGGCCAAGGTTCAGGTCCCGTCGGAGTCTAACTGGAAACGCGCCAAGTCTGACTCCGGGCACCTGCAAACCTCGCGCTAAGACCCCTGGGCGCCTCCTCGGAAGGCGACGCTCCGCTGCTTCCCGCGCCACCGCCCGCTGTGTCCACGGGGGAGCGGGGAGCCGCAGGGAGGCGCCGGGGCCGAGCTGCAGCCGCTGCGCTCCGCTGGGGGTGGCGCTGGCGAGCCGCGGTTCAGCGGCCCATTCTCTGCGTTCCGCCCGGACGCCTGGCTGGGCCTAGCGGCCTGACCACGCCGTTTTATCCCAGGAGTCCTCAAGGGCACACCGATGGGCGGAGGAGCTCCCTGGGGCAGGGGAAGTGGCTGCATCCTCAATGCTTGACCCCCGGAGAAGCGGCTGCAGTTTGCAAGCACCGTAGACTCCGCGCACCCGAAGGCTCAATCCCCAGGCCTGGAGAGGCCTCCCCTTGAGGGCCTCCAATCCTCGTCGACTGGGGACGGAACGGGACGGCCAGTCTGGAGGTCTTTCGCGGATGCTGCGGGAATGCCAGCGGAACTCTGGCTTTCGGATTTGTAGGCCAGCAACCTCTGAAAGCCTCGCCTTTCACTCCCAGGGGCACCGCGCTTTCCAGTTTACAGAACGCTCTCGCTCCCCAGGCCCTCACCGCACCTCTCCCGAGGAATGCGGCGGCGGGGCTGGGCAGGGAGGGCTGGTCCAAGGGCTCAGTTTGAGTGCCTAGTTGAAACGCAAGAACGTGTGGTCCCGAGGTTAGGGACGCCCTGCGTCTCTGCCCTGGGTCCTTGCTGGTTGAGGAGGGAGTCCACTTACCAGGCAAGGTCTGGGGCCCTGTTTGCGTCTGGCACCTTGCAGAAGGATTTGGTAGGCCAGGAAGCCAGCGACCTCTTTAGAACAACATCTCCAGCTTCTTTTTTTTCTCTTTATAGTTTCCTCAGAACGGGCGACGAGCTTCTAGAAGCCGCAAACCACCGGCTCTGCCTGAGATTAACAGGAGGACAAGCTCCATTCTAAATACTAACAAACCCAGCGAGGGTCTTTACCCTCGAGAAACCTTGCGTTCAACCCGGGAAACTCCTAGTTAGAAAAAGAATTATGGTCACCGCCTGATTGATTTAGTGATAACAATTCACCGTAATAGATAGAACTCTTGATTTTTCAAAAGGCACCTTGGGGCCGTCCACATGTTTGCAGCTTGGATGCATCTATTTCTTTAAAAGTGAGACTTGGAGAGAATTCATTAAATTAGTCCCCTGGGGAAGATTACTGCTAATTAATTAATTGCAAACATTTCCAGAGGGAAGGTATGTCAATTGTAAAGTAATAAAATTAGATAGTTGAAATCCTTACTCAGCAACTTTGATTGCCCATTCGCTCCTAAGCAGATTTTTTTTTTTTTTAAATGACAGAAAAATGGGGATGGTGGTAGAGAAAAAGCATTAGTTCTTTCTCCTGATGATCTGGTTGCAAAGGAGAAGCTGCCACATGGACTGTATTGATTTTTAGCTGATTTATAAGACCTCTGCGGTATCAATGCGTACAGGCGGCCTCCAGGCCTTCCTCTCTTCTTTGCTCTCTAGGATTTGAGAAAAGCAACATGGTTTTTTCCCAAGAAAAAGAAAACAGGAAAAAGAACAGTGACGAAGAGAACAGGTTTCATGTTCAGGCACCTTTCTATTGTCTTCCAAGTTGCTTTTGGAGCCAGAATGTCTTCCCCAGAAGAAGCCCCCACTTCCAGGGGTGGGAGAGCTCGACTACTTTCCCAGGGAGAGGGTGCGCCCACAGCAGCCCTACTGTGGGCTGCTGACCTGTGATTGTCACCACCTTGCGCATTTAGTAGGGTTCCCTAAAATTGGTTCTTAGGAAACATGCCTGTTCTTTCCATCATGTTGGGACTCCACTGGGGACCCATGACAGGGCCAGTGGTTAAACCAATACCAACCTCTATCCGGCATGAACCTCAGGTACAAAGAAGTCTGTTTCTTGGGAAACCTGACTCAGGCACCCTGCAAAGGAATTTGTTCTCGTCCCCCTGACTGTAGATAGGCACCCACTTTGGCATTCGAGTGCGCCGAGCACCACCGTGCTGGCTTCTTATGGCTTTGTTCAGAGGTGATTCATTTCATTTTGGGAAAAATGCCCAGTTGTGTATGCGTCCACAAAGAATTTTATTGAAGCAAGTGAATTAACCTATCAAGTACAGACCCTCCCAGTTATATTTAAGGGAGCCAATTGAGCTGATGAGTTTTAAACAATGATAGATTCTTTTGTATTATGCAGCATGCCCTGACATTTCCTTTAGCTGCTCATTTAAACAAATAGGAAACAAAGTAAACAATCAAAGGCCTATTTGGAGCAGGGGGGTGTATTAATGACCTGCCTTGTTTATTTCCATGTTGCTCTGCTTTAAGTGCAAAGGATGTGTCTTTGACAATAAATTTGAGTGCAAGTGTATCTCTCTCTCTCACACACACACACACAAAAGAAAACAAATCATACTGCGTTATTTTGGGTTAAATGCTCATCCTTTCCTAATGATTCAAATAGATAGCAGATTTTTTTTACCAGGAGAAGGATGGGGTGGGTAGCCCAGAAATGCCCCAAATCAACTTCAAATGCCTCATGGGACTATGAGTATATGGGCACAATAAGAGAGATGAAAGTGTGCCAAATTTTATTAAGTACAGATTTTTTTAGGGGCTGCTTTTGCACTGAGAAGAATGAAATTCCCTCCAATCTGTGCATGAATGAACAAGTCCATCTGGACAGACACATCTATAATTTATACTGACCAGTCACCGCAGGTCTCCCCGAGTAAAGCCAAAATGAACACTAATTGTTTTGACGGAAGACGTGTGCGTGGCATCTGATTGTGAAGGGCAGGGAGCCCGTGCCCTGCCTGGCTGCATGTTGTCCCCAGCAGCTCTGGCACCAGAAAGGGAAAACGAAAAGGCAATGATTCCCAAATGAGGGTATTGATGTCCCCTGGCAGGAAGGTGGCAAATAGAAAGAAGGAAGTTTTAGATGAATTAAAGAAAAAAAAAAATGAGACTGAATGCAGAGACCTCGCTGTGTCAGCAAACCAAATGCAGACCTGAGTTCAGAGTTAAAAAGGATAGCTTATTAATTACATAATTCCTTTGCCTTCAACGCAAGCTTTGGTGCTTTCCAAAACGTCTCCGCATTTTCTTATTTAAGGCTCATGATGAGGAGGTTGGAGAGGAGAGAAGCAAATCCAAGATCACATGACCCGGTAGATGACAGAGGAGGGACCAGAATCCAGACCTCCCGACTTTGGGTCTTTCCACAGATCATATTTCAAGCACACAGAGAGTCAGACACTACCAGGAGATGCAGCTAACTGCAGCTGGACTGAGAGAATGCGCAGGTGGCTGAGGGTGGGGGTAGGGAACACACGGCAGGACCTAGCAGAGAAAACATCTCAAGAGAAGCCACTGGGGGCACGAAAGTTCAGGGTCACTGCTGCCTGTTTTTATATCAGTCTGTATTATGAAAGAGCTTATGTGATAATTTGGGAGTTTTAGAAATTTGCTGTGGATCATTAATTAAAATGGACAGCATCAAGCAGACCCAGGTGTGGCTAAGTATATAACAAAACAAAAACAGCAACCCAAAAAAACCCCACAACAACCAAAACCAAAGCCCTCCAACAGATCCAGCCAGGGGTATGTCTATATGCATATCAGTTTTAAAAACTGTGAGTTGAATTTAGTTCGTGGCTATTTCCGGGAAGAGGAAAAATTTTAAATCTTTTTTGTTAGCCTTGTAGACTGGGGAATGTAGGGCACAGGGTGCTCACTTCCAAAGTGGTTTTTGTGTATCGAAATTCTTGATTATTTTATCCTGAGGATGGTGACAGCTT